CCTGTGGCTCAAAGGAGTAGGGTGCCGGCCCCCTGTGCCGGAGGTGGTGGGTTCAAACCCAGCTCTGGCCAAAAAACCCCCCCCCCAAAACAAAAAAACCAAAAAACTGTAAAGTTGCCCAGATTGGCTTAAAGTAACTGTCTTTACAGAATGTTTTTTTAAGCTTCATGGGTACAATCACCGGATTCTTTGTTGAGAAGCCCTAGTTGAGTCCACTGTATTCCTACAGCAGCACACTTACCCATATAATAACACTACTGCAGGCAGTTTCCTTGAGTAACGAGGACCAGAACCTCCAGGGTGTGAAGGAGGCTATTCTGGTCAATACCCAGGGAAGCCACACAGGCAAGTCACTGGGTTTGCTTAGGTGTCTCCAGACTGTGGTCTCTCACTGGCTCCCACCGTATTCTTTGGAATGTGGAAAATAGCAAGGAAGTTTTCTAAGCTGACGTTTTAATTACTTGCTGTGTCTTAAAATTTATAGAGATGACAACTATTTTCTATTTGTCCTGAGGTAACAGATACTGATTAGTAGCAAAGGAGACATTTAAAAAAATAGTCACTAAAAGGGCACAATATTTGAAGACTTTTGGATTGTGTTGATTCATACTGAGACTATCTCTTGTACCAATTTACCAAGTGTCCAGTAACATGGCAGGTGCAAGGCCATGTGCAGTGGCTCATGCCTGTAATCCTAGCACTCTGGGAGGCCACGGCGGGTGGATTGCTTGAGCTCATGGGCTCAAGACCAGCCTGAGCCAGAGCAAGACCCCATCTTTACTAAAAATACAAAAAACTGAAGCAAGAGGACTGCTGGAGCCCAAGAGTTGGAGGTTGCTGTGAGCTATGATGTTGCCATGGCATTCTACCCAGGGTGACAGCTTGAGACTGTCTCAAAAACAAACAAAAACATGGTAGGTGCTAGTGCTATTAAGAATAGAAATATGCTCCTTTCCTTCTAGAATTCTATGTTCTACTCATGAAGGCAGATAGGAAGCAATAGATCATAGTATTTTACAGACTATGTCTCAAGAATCTGCAAGGCCATTCTAAAAGGAGATTAATAATTATTTCTATCTAGGCCAGGTGTGGTGGTTCATGCCTGTAATCCTAGCACACTGGGAGGCCAAGGTGGGTGGATCACCGGAGCTCAGGAATTCAAGGCCAGTCAGAGCCAAAGCAAGAAGCTGTCTCTAAAAATAGCTGGGTGTCATGGTGGGCGCCTGTAGTCTCAGCCACTTGGGAGATGGAAGCTAAAGAACCACTTAAGCCCAAGAGGATGCTGTGAGTTATAATGCCACAGCAATCTATGAAGGGTGACAAAGTGAGACTCTGTCTCAAAAAAAATAAAAATTATTTCTATCTATTGCAATATTATTGGAATAAAAATACAGTGTCACAGTGTGATACCTTAAAAGTATGCTGGTTTTTTTTTTTTTTTTTTGTGGGGAGAGGAAGGCACAATGAATTTCTTTTTTTTTTGAGACAGAGCCTCAAGCTGTCCCCCTGGGCAGAGTGCCGTGGCATTACAGCTCACAGCAACCTCCAACTCCTGGGCTCAAGCGAGTCTCCTGTCTCCGCCTCCCAAGTAGCTGGGACCACTGGCGCCCGCCACAGCGCCCGGCTATTTTTTGGTTGCAGCCGTCATTGTTGTTTGGCAGGTCCGGGCTGGGGATTCGAACCCGCCACCTTAGGTGTACGTGGCTGGCGCCTTAGCTGGTTGAGCTATAGGCGCCGAGCCACCAATGAATTTCAAAATCATACAGGTTAGTAGCAGTAAGGCAGATACGGGCCATCTGTCTTCCTTACACACTTCCTACCTTTGAACTCTCTCAGGATTTTCCTGTGGCCAAACATTTTCACAATGTTTGAAATCTATCTTTCTGTCCAGATTTTGGAAGCCCAGAAGTAACAGTCCTAGATAAAAACTCCTTGGCTTAAGCAAACACGCATTGAGAGCTCTTCTTTTCCTTCCCAGATGTACTGCTTGGCCCACTCTGTAATACTGGCCTTGTCATCCTGTAAGATTTCAGTGTGGTGGAGAGGAAGAGGAGGAAGAGAGAAAGGGGAAGGAGAAAGAGAGGAGGGGAAGGAGAGAGGAGCGGGAAGACCTAAGAAGAAAAACCTCTACACTCTGTAGCAATGGTAGCCTCAGGCGTCTTCTCTTAACAAGACCTAGACAAGTCTGTTTCCTATTCCTTGGAGCACAGATAGTCCTTTGCAATCTCAGCTCTGATTTTGCTTCGTCTCAGCCATTCAGCTCAAAAGTCAGTCTGACAAAGTAGCTTGCAAAATGTAGCCAAGGTTCCCTATGTTCCTTCCTGAGATCCTTTCCGGTGTCCACAAGGTCAAAATTATATTCATAGTACTAAGTAGTCACTTTTTTCACTCTCATTTTCTGCTATGAGTGCACAGAATTTCCCAAAGATATGATGTCTGTCTATCTGTCTAATGCCTTCTATCAAGCCAGGCATTAAAGATTTGCAAAAATGTAAAATGTCATTCTTCTCATCAAAATGTGTCTTTGATGTGGAAGATTTCTTTCATAAAAATATTTGTATTAACATGAAATGTTTATGTTTAAAAGGATTACACTAAATATTTTAAAATTTCCTATCTTAATTTCTAATATGATAAATATTAATAGATAGAATCTACATAACTAGAAATGGTCTTTAAGTATTTTTCTTGGCTTGGTGCCTATGGCTCAAGTGGCTAAGGCGCCAGCCACATAAACCTAAGGTGGTGGGTTCGAACCCAGCCTGGGCCCACCAAACAATGATGGCTGCAACCAAAAAAATAGCCAGGTGTTGTGGCGGGTGCCTGTGGTCCCAGCTACTTGG